GTTGAACGTCCGTATTACCCAAATACGCAAGAACCATATTTACTTGTGTGTCAATTGAAAACAGCGAAAATGGATAAAAACATTTTCCAAGGTTTATTCATCTCGAAAAAAAATCCACAATCATATTTTATATCCACTGTCTTATATTCCTTAAATCTCAAATTGGAATTTTATAAAACTTCAACATGTTGAGTTCTCATATATCGATCAGGTCTACAAGATCATTTCATTGTTTTAACAACAACTTCAAGAGATAACACAGATCGGGAAAAGATTACCCGTTAAAGGAATAGAGTTTTGTTGTTGTTGTTGTTCCAAAATGAACAAACCAAAATATGAATGAAATATTTCCAACTTATGTGTGTGTAAACATGTAATGTTACACACATGTTGTCACACAATGTAATTAGTTCCGCATCGAATTACATCAACAAAGAACAAATATTGAAATTCGATACTCTTTAACAGCGAACTACAATCCAAACGTAGGTACTTGAAAATAGTAACATATTTGTTCATTATGGACAAAATTTGACCATTACACCCTGCAGTTCGTAACAATGTCGGACATAAATAAGAATATATGTTTGGTGCCGCTGCCATATAATTTTTTATACCCTTCACCACACTGTGGTATAGGGTCTTTATGTCCATTATGGACAAAATCTGACCATTACACCCTGCAGTTCGTAACAATGTCAGACATAAATAAGAATATATGTTTGGTGCCGCTGCCATATAATTTTTTATACCCTTCACCACACTGTGGTATAGGGTCTTTATGTCCTTGAGCATATGTTTGTAACAGGCGATAGGAAACGACATAGACACATGATTCCTTTTGAAAATATGCATAGAATCACTTTGTGAGTCGACATATACTTGTCCGTCCGTCTGTCTATGTTAAATTGTAAACCAAGTACAGGTCGCATTTATGATCCGAATTCGATGAAATTTGGCACAGCTCATTTATTTGGCCCAAAGACGAACCCTATTGAAATTGGAAAAAATCGGTTCAGATTTAGATATAGCTCCCATATATATTTTTGTCCGATTTTTATTTTATATATCTTTCGATTTGTGCGAAATTTGGCAACAAAGTCCTTATATATCTTTCGATTTGCACGAAATTTGGCATAGCGTACTGAATTAAGTCTAGAATGATTTGTGTCAAATTTCGTTAAAATCGGTTTAGATTAAGATATAGCTTCCATATATATTTTCGTCCGATTTAATGTAAATGTTGCACCAAAGTCCCTATATATCTTTCGATTTGTACGAAATTTGGCATATTGTAATGAATTAAGTCTAGAATGAAGTGTGTTAAATTTTGTAATAATCGGTTTAGATTTAGATATAGCTCTCATATATATTTTCGTCCGATTTAATGTGTTCATTTTATTTCAGAGGTGTATTGCTTATTATGGAAATGTCTGTTCTTATACCGGGTGAACAAGTTGCAACAAAAATTGGTGAGCCTATTCCTTTTCAAGTCCGCCCCTCTTTCGGTGATACAAATAGCCTTTTGCCTAGCCTCACAATTGGCGTCTTGCCGGTAAGTATAGCCTTATTTAAAGTAAATCTAAACTAAATTATCACTTATTTTTAAATTTTAAAAATATATTATTATTATAGAATATATTATTATAGAATTTGAAGTAAATGTATAATATATATATATATATATATATATTCAAATGTATTTAGTCATTTGTTGTGGTATGAAATTAACATGTTATGTTTTGGTTGTTTCAGCGTCTTATGTTGCGAAGACATATAGACCGTCCCGTTCTACAAATTTTGGGAGCTAAACTTTTAAAAGGCGGTTCAGCTGATCGTCTTCGAGTGCTCGTATCGGATGGTAAATATTTTAATAGTTATGCAATGCTTGCCACACAATTGAATGCAATGTACCATGAGGGGAAATTCCAAGAGCGTACTATTATTCGAGTGGACAATTACATAATAAGTAGGGTCGAAAGAAATGATAAAAGGTAAGTTTTTATATAATGTATATATAGGTATATTCTATATACCTATATGATATTATATTCTGCAAAGTATATTCCTAAAACTACAATAAACTATTTTTAACATTCAGCCTTATTCTGGATATTCGCTAGGGAGATATTTCGCATGTGAAAAGGCGTAGAATCGGGCTTTAAGACATAACCATCCACACGTTGATCACCCTTATGGGTGACATTTTTGGGTGGGGAATCGACAGACATCGCCTCTGTCGCAGGTTGCCTCTGAAGTTTTTTGCCGGCAAGTGCCGACACAGGACCTGTTGTAGTCAGACTTGATGTCGGTCCGTCAACAGGGTCTGCGCTTCCTTCGTTAATACTACAACAATCCTCCTGTGTAGACTTGGCTGGGATCACCGTGGTGTTCAGCTCATCATCTGTTAGGGTAAGATTCAGTAGCAGTTCCTCCGGAAGCGTGTCCCCACATTGCTCTTCCGGCATCAGTCTGTATAACTGGTCGAAGAGTTCCTTACTTTGCTCCTCTAGACTATCGCGGATAACTTTTAGAGTCCCGTGTAGGTCTTCCCCTCCCAGAACTACAGTCCTGTCAGCCAGATACTGATTTTCATCAGTCTTGACATGCTCATTTGCTGGCGCGCTCGATAACTCTGAAATGGAGTAACCGATTTCATGCAAACTTTGCTCATCGTAATATTTTTGCCAAACTTAATTCATGTTCAAGTTCCGCTACCTCCCCACAAAATGGTCAAAATTGTGGAAAAAATTATTTTATAATATCATGTGAACGGACAATCTGAATTGAATAAAACTTTTCACAACCTATTATCTTCACCAATCCTAGATCATGTCCGAGGTTGGGAGCCATTGGTCTACCTCTTCTTGTACCTCCCACACAATTTGTCACAATTTTCAATATTTAGAAATTCATTATTAGGGGAAAGGAATGTCCCATTTGAACCGTAGTTTGCATAACCTATTATCTCCACCAAGTCTTGATCATGTCCGAATATAAGAGCTATTGGTCCACTTCTTCTTATACCTCCCACACAACTGATCACAATTTTCAATATTTATGTGTTCATTATTAGAAGAAAGGAATGTCCGATTTGAACCAAATTTTGCACAAAATTTTATCGTTATCAAAGCTAGATCAGTTCCAAAGATGGGACCCATTGGTCCACTCCTTCTGGTATCTCCCCCCATAGAGGGTCAATATTTTATAAACTAGCCCGGGACTTTTATTAAACTTCTCTAAGGTGATGAAAGAACAGCATAATATATCAAAATATATTATAAAAATATATATATATATATAAACAAACCAATTTTTTCTTTTCAGTTTTCAACGTCCTGTATTGATCATTATAGAACTCACTGTTCTTATGTTGGGCGAAAAAGTTATGACAAGAATAGGCGACCGACCTACAAATTATGTCGAATCGTCTGAATTTACTCAAGGCACAATTTCAATGGCTAATTTCCCATTGGAGGTATGCTTTGTTTATTTATATATTTTTAAATTAAATTTAAAAAAAAATAATTGTTCTTATATATTTCTTTGCTGATTTAGTCCACCACTGATGGCGAACCATTGCCTAAACTATCAACCGATGTCTTGGTGGTAAGTATAAACATTACAATTTTAAGCCAGCTAAGGCTTCAAATTACAATCATAATACAATACAAAAAACCAAATTGCCGGAAAATTTGCGTTGGCATTGTGAAAGTTTACATCGGGAGGTAACCTAAACAAGGGCGGCAATAAATATAAAAATAATTCTTTTTTTAGGCTTCAAACCGATCACATTCGGAGTTTGTGCCAGTTTTTCTTACTAGATGTCGTTTTAGAGCAATGATTTAAAAACATTTCTGAAAAAAATGGGACACGGAAAAGACCCATTCGCGTGTCAATTAAGGATTAACATATTAGTGTAAACGTAAACTTTCAAAACGCCGATACATTTGGCTTCTATTTTTAACACCTCTTTCATAATCCATTTGAAAATATCCGATAATTATCAAAAAAAAAAAAAAAATCGAAATTTGATTACTCTTTTCTTGTTTTGCAGCCTATGATGTTGGGCAAAGAGATCAAACGTCCTGTTCTACAAATATTGGGAGCTAAACTCATAAAGTATGATAATACGGAACGTGTTCGATTACATATATCGGACGGTAAATATTACAATAGTTATGCAATGCTTAGCACAAACTTAAATTCAATGTACCACGAGGGAAAATTTCAAGAACGTACTATTTTTATATTGGACAAATATGTAACATGTGCATTTAGTAAAACCGATAGCAGGTAAGGGGCTTTTAAGTCTACTTATATATAGGGTGATATATAAAAAACTGCAACAAAGTCAAACGTCATTATTTTTACATTTTTTTAATTTTATTGAATGAAAGCAAAAAATATCGGAAATAGCATCAAATTTTAGAATAAGTTTAGACGGCCAATGAAACCGTCACACACTGACCAAATGTTGCTCTGCGGTGTTTTGGCCAATTTCCGGCGAAGCGCTAGTATGAGGTGATCTACAATATGGTATTTTTAGTGCCAACCTTGCTTTCCAAAATACTCCAGACACAATAGTCCAACGGATTGGTATCCGGAGATTTTGGTGGCCATTGTGCGCTGGAAATGAAGCGAAAAACCTCATTTTGTAACCATTCTTGGGTGACGCGTGCTAAGTCCTGTTGGAATGTTCAAGGTCTACGGCCAAAAATTTTGCGTGCCCAAGGCTTTAATACACCCTCCAGAATATTTTCGCGATAATCACCCTTATTACGGTAGACGTAGTCGTTGTACGGCAGCTCTCGTAGGCGTAGTCGATTGCGTTGTCGTAGTCTTTTTGGTCGGTATTATGTAAAATTTTCGACAACGCCAAATATTGTAATAGATTTTTCTTTTACTCTGTTACAAAACCAAATCAAAAATTGTTCTTTTAGAAACCTTTTTATATTGTATTGGAAAAACTATGTAATTTTGTTTGTTTTCTAATTAACAAAGTGTTGGACAACGAATGTTTTCTCATCGGAGAAAACCAAATTCGGCAGATCACCACTTTCCGCCAAGCGAAGCAACTCTTTAGCTCTTTTGAGTCAATTTTCTTCCTGTTGCGTTGTAAGTTCTTGCACTTTTTGGAATTTCAATGGCTTTACCCCCGGAGCTCATTTTTCAATATTTGCCGAATGGAATATTGTGATATGTTCAGCACACGAGCCATTTTTTGGCCAATGTTTCGGTTTTGATCAAGTCGCTTCTTTACTTTTCGAACCATTTCTGCTGATGTTGCTGTTTTCTTCCGTCCACTTCCTTGACGTCGGGCTACGCTACCAGTATCACGCTAAAGAGCTGGTACGAGACACAAAAGATTTATTCACATTTAAATGCTGGAGTGCTCTAACGATAGCCACTTGTGGTTTTCCAGCCAAATATAAAGAAATCACACTATGACGCTTGAATTCCATCACGAATAACTTTTTTTCTGGAAAATTCTCACCAAAATGCTTTTGTACGCTTGTAAACAATATAATGAGTTGTCACTGGAATAATTTTAAACAGTTGTCGGACGAGTGGCTTGGAAATGAAGTTGGTTGCAGTTTTTTTCTTCTCACCCTGTATATATATATATGGACAACTCACCGATTGATACTTTCTAAATTGTTTTCTTTCTCGCAGAGTTTTATTGATTGGTTTGAAAATCACTATTCTTATGCCGGGTGATAAGGTTATAAAGAAAATAGGACAACCTTGCAATTATTTAGAATCGCCTGAATTTAATCGAAAAACTATTGTGCCTCAACTATCGACTGGTTCCACGTCGGTAGTGGTAAGTACTAATTAATTATATATATACATATATATATATACATATATATACATATATATATATACATATATATATATATATTTTTGGCAATTCAAAATTGTTTTTCTTAAATATTTATTTGCTGATTTTTAGCCCATTGAAACCAACGAACCATTGCCTAAGCTATCAACGGGCGCCTTGGTGGTAAGTATTGATAGATTTAATCATAGCTGTAATACGAATATAGGTTCGTTGTAATACTAATATGTTTTTATTGTGATTTTTTTCTTTGTTTTAGCCTATTATGTTAAGCAAAGAAATACGACGTCCCGTTCTACAAATCATTGCAAGTAAAATCATAAATCATGGCGATCATAGTCGTGTTCGACTATTCATATCGGATGGTCAATATTTCAATGTTTATGCAATGGTTACCACAACATTGAATTCAATGTACCATGAGGGGAAATTGGAAGAATTGACTATTGTTCGATTAGACAGATACACAATAACGTATGTTCAATGCAAGTAAGTGTCATTATTACGGTATTACATTCGTATTATTGCATCCAATGGTGACATTTCTACTCATTTATTGTCATGTAAAACTGAAGTAGCTCTTCGACGCCTAGATTTATGTGTTGCGGTCTTGGCCTCTGAACTCTTCAAAGCCATTACAGCTGAAATGGATATTCAATTTTCAAAAACATACTTTTGGACCGATTCTACGATCGTTCTATCATGGTTGAAGAAAATTCTTTCCACATGGTCATCTTTTGTTGCGAATAGGTTCTCCAGATTACAGGACAACGTTGGTCAAAATGTTTGGTATCATGTATCTTCCGATGTTTATCCTGTTGATTTGGGAAGTCGCGGACTTACGCCCACCGAATTGGCTTTTTCTCAAATTTTGTGGTTCGGACCACATTGGCTCCGCTTAAAAAGTTCTGAAGGGAAGTTGCGGATGTAGAAATTCGTGCAATTAAAAGTCATTTTTCATACTACGAAAATTTCGTTGATGGTTTAGATCATTTTTCGTCCTTAGATAAGGCTTTACGAGTAGTATCATTCAATTTTAGATTTTTTCACAAAATACATTCTTCTACTCGATAACATTCTTCGAGCTCCGAACTAAAAAATGTGAAAATAAGGCTGATTGTTTTGAATAAAAAAGCGTATTATGTCGATGAATATAGTTGTTTATCTAACAATAGGCCCTTAAATTCAAAAAGTTCGATTTTGTCCTTAAATTCCTTTCTGGACGACGCTAATGACTAATAATAATGAGATGAGCGTTCACAGCCACTAATTTAAAGATATAAATGGAATTCACAAGAATGTGCGACTTATTGAACTGGCGGTTGCACGACTAAGCGTCATATTGTCCAGCCTTACCATATTTAATATAGAACATATGATATGCCACATTGTTCGTGAGAGTTGCCCCTAACAGAACATATAAAGCAAGAATCTTGAAATTGTATATGGAATGCAGGTTGAGAAGTGGTATGTTGTATGGAAATGGGTTTAGAAATTCATACTTATATGTGTACTAAATGATACTAAATAGGAATTAGGATTACTATTGGAGTAAAATCATTTCTATGTTTGTACGAAAATTACTAAATTTAATACATGTTGGATTTGAGGTGAACAGATAGAGCTGGAGTCTTGAAATTGGGAGTTAAAATTGACTGTTGGAGTGTAGGATTGAGGTAGTTTTGGGAATATGTACTTATGGCTACGAAAATTACTAAATGGTACTAAAGTTAGTACAATTTGGAATTCGGGTGAACGATAGAGCTGAAAACCTGAAATTTGGAATTTGAAACGGATCAACTTTATTTTAATTCAAATTATGTTTACATATTTAAAATAACGGTAAACTATTGAAATATTTTGTAAATAATTCCAAAAAACTACATCACTGATATTACTACATTATTACTAGACCTCGGATTTTTGCATATTTTTTATGCTTTATCCGATTGGACTCAAATTTTGTATTTAGGCGTTTCATGCTTTAAGTGATCGATATTTGGGGTCATGTCAAAAATATGCAAAAAATATGCAAAATATATGCAAAAAATATGCAAAATATATGCAAAAAATATGCAAAAAATATGCAAAATATGCAAAAAATATGCAAAATATGCAAAAAATATGCAAAATATGCAAAAAATATGCAAAATATGCAAAAATATGCAAAATATGCAAAAAATATGCACGGTATGCTAGGTCGATATGCGATAAATATATGCAAAAAATATACAAAATATGCATTGTCGATATGCAAAATATGCAAAAATATGCAAAAATATGCAAAATATGCAAAAATATGCAAAATATGCAAAATATATGCAAAATATATGCAAAATATGCAAAAATATGCAAAATATGCAAAATATATGCAAACATATGCAAACATATGCAAAATATGCAAACATATGCAAAATATGCAAAACATATGCAAAATATGCAAACATATGTAAAATATGCAAAAATATGCAAAATATATGCAAAATAATGCAAAATATATGCAAACATATGCAAAATATGCAAAAATATGCAAAATATGCAAAAATATGCTAACATATGCAAAATATGCAAAACATATGCAAAATATGCAAAAATATGCAAATTTTGCAAAAAATATGCACGGTATGCTAGGTCGCAATATTAAATATAGAACTTTGAAATTTTGCACATATATTATTATTACTCCTAGGATGTTTGGTATTGGAAATGGGATATATCGGTACACGTTTTAGTATATCGCCATATAACGGTTATATATGTTTGCATGTTTTATACATATATTTAGCAATTTTTTCATAATGCCCCAAAAGTCTAACCGTTGAACCATGAAAAGCATACATACACAATTAGATTTCTATAGGTTAAAAATAAAGAAAGCACACAAATTCGAAAACTACCATGAAATTTTTTTTTTTTATTAAAATGATTGCATATGTGGAATATGTTGCTCATATTTGCACATATTTTTGCCTATATTTTTTCATATTTTTTGCATATATCTCGCATATCGACCTAGCATACCGTGCATATTTTTTTGTATATTTTGCATATGTTTGCATATTTTGCATATTTTTGCATATTTTGCATATTTTATGCATATATTTTGCATATTTATTGCATATCGACCTAGCATATTTTTGCATATTTTTGCATTTTTTGCATATTTTGCATATATTTTGCATATGTTTGCATTTTTTGCATATTTTGCATATATTTTGCATATGTTTGCATTTTTTGCATATTTTGCATATATTTTGCATATATTTTGCATATTTTTGCATATATTGCATAATTTGCATATTTTGCATATTTTTGCATATTTTGCATATGTTTGCATATATTTTGCATATTTTTGCATTTTTTGCATATTTTGCATATTTTTGCATATTTTGCATATGTTTGCATATTTTGCATATATTTTGCTTATATTTTGCATATTTTTGCATATTTTGCCTATATTTTGCATATTTTATGCATATATTTTGCATATTTATTGCATATCGACCTAGCATATTTTGCATATTTTTTGCATATTTTGCATATATTTTGCATATTTTTTGCATATTTTGCATATATTTTGCATATTTTTTGCATATTTTGCATATTTTTTGCATATTTTGCATATTTTTTGCATATCTCGTGCATATGCAAAATATGCAAATATGCAAAAAATTAAAAAATATGAACCCTTCAAATAATTCTAAATCCTTTGAAACGAATTTGTGTCCAATCAGAATTTCGATATCTTCATTATTAAAAAATATGCAAATATGCAAATTCCGAGGTCTAATTATTACACAACCAATACTAGACGAGAATCTTGCTTCTCATAAGTGGTACCCATGGTACAATAAATAGGCAGTAGTCCATTTAGAGCAGCTCTCGATTGTGCAATGGTAGTACCTAAGCTCAATCTAATTTCAATAAAATCACTACACTCTGAGTCCGGACTCACCGACTCTAATTTGTTTAGCGAACAGTGAAGGCTTAAAATCATTAGCCACGCTTGCCCAAGTTGATGGACTCAGATCATAAACTGAAAGCAATTCCTAAACAAGGAGGAAAAAATTAATCTTGTAAATCTTGTTGTTTCGGATGAAGCCATATCAGCTCCACCACGAGTTGCTCTATCGACGCCCAACGTGAAGCCGTCTTCATTAACAACCAAAGTGGAGCCTACTTTATTGGCACACAACGTGGGAGCCTTCTTTAAATTAAGATTACTGTTGAGGATTGAGCTGTAGAGAGACAGATTTGTAAATTGGTATTTATGTAGACGAAAAGTACTAAATGACACTAGAGTTTATACAAGTTGGATTTGGGTGAACAAAGAGAGCTATTTGGTGGATGTGGACTCCAGAATTTTGAAATTAAAATAACAGTTGGAATGTGGAATGATATAAACGTACCAAAACAAAAAGTAGATTTTTTATTATTCATGCATACATTTACGCTTAAATTATAACATATATTATTTATGCAAATAACTGGTATAAATATTGGCCAATATTTCTCGATAATTATGATTTATTATCATTTGAAGTAGAATTTTAGGTACCTTTTCGTACTTTTTTGTTCCTACCTGTGGCAATGTTTTCCAACTCCACCAATGAGAGATAGAAAAAACTCTCAACACCATCCCAATCACCAACAGTGTAAAACCACGCTTATAGTGTTGGATTCAGACTTGGAGGTAGTTTGGAAAATTTGTAATTTTGTGTACTAAATGGTACTAAATTTGGTACAATTTAGA